GCTGCAGCAGCTGCTGGGCCTGAGGCTGCGGGACCCCATTATGGTCATGCTGGTGGGTGGTGGGCTGTTTCATGGGGGGGTTGTATCGCTGATATACACACGCACATATGTGGGTGTGCTCCTTTTCGCGCTTCGGGAGACGGGCTTTCACGGCGGCAGGGCGCAACGGCGCCAGGTGGATCTGGGGGGCGTCAACAGCGCGCTCATTGCTCCTGGATTGTTCCCCTCCAAGCGACTCTTCTGACTAGGAACACGCTGCCCGGCCAAGGCTCATCAGGGGGCTTCTGTCTTCCTTGCACCCGCTGCCTCACACCCCCTCCCCCTGCCTTTTTACCTGATTCCCCCCTCCCCCCACAGCACGCGCGGTCCCTGGAGGCGTTCAGCCGCTTTGTGGCTCTGCAGGAGGACCTGTTGGTGCCCCTGGTGCAGGCCAGCTTCGAGTGCCTGCAGGTGGGCGCAAACTGACTTGCTTCTGACGTGCCCGCGGGCAGTACTATTCATACTTTCCTCCCACTAGCGCGGCGGCGCCTTGTGCGCATGGAGGGAAAGGCCCGGCGTCGCAACCTGCGACCGCCGGCGGCTGTTTGGGGAAGGGGGTTGAGGAGAGCGAGGCAGGCGGAGCGGCGGCAAGGACGTGGCACAGACCTATGCGGGGCTGCGCCCTGTCTGACGCTCTGCGGCAGGCGCGTCGCGCGCCCGTGTCCTCCATGTCCCCCATGCTTCACGCACACACACACACACACATGCGCACCCACACACACTCTCTCACGCGCATGCATCGACATACACACACAGACACCCACACACACACACACACACACACACGCACGCACACACACGCACACACATCTCTATTTCGAACAACCTCCGAACAACCTCACTCCCGCCAGGTTATCCCCATCGAGCAGAACGGGCAGCTCCCGCCGCCGGCCAAGGTGTCCCAGCAGTGGAAGGAGGAGGCAGTCGCGCGCACCGCAATGGCTAAGGTGCGCCGCGGCCGGGGCAACTGCTGCGCTGTCAGACCTTTATGTTCTCTCCTTGGTCGATCGCAGCCTCGCGCCTGCATCTTTGGCCCCCAAGGCGTGGCGGCGGTGCGGTCCCGCGGGGGTCCTGCTGTGCTTTCCGCCCCGGCGCGGCCGCGACCGGCCGCCCCCACCCAGGACACCCTGTTGCTCCCTCACTGCCCCCCAGCCGCCGGCCCCTTCAGCTGTCCCCCATCCCCCCACTGAATCACCCCTCACGTTGCCTCGCTCCCTCCTGCCCCCATGTCGCACCCTCAATCTCGACACCTGAAACCCTCGGGCCTCAAACCCCGAACTCTGAACCACGATCATCCTCTCACCCAAACCCTGAACCCTGAAATCCTCTCCTTTGGACCGCAAACCCTGGACGCCGACAATCCTCCCCCATCACCCTAGACCCTCAACCCTGATCCACACCCGCATCGCATCCGCAGGTGCTGCTCAACTGCGCGAAGGAGGCGCCGGCCGCGTTCCTGCCGCACCTGCAGCCGCTGGTGGCGCGCGTGCAACAACTCTGGGACCAGGTGGGGCCGCACGGCAGCACCCTGCGCTTTGATTTGCATTCGGAACATTTGGGTTTTGGATTTTTGGTGTAAATGCGTATCAGGTTTTAGGGCTTGGGTGAACGAAAGTCCAACCCTCTTGGCATGACGGGCTTTGCTCGGCAACGCCATTGGCGAGAGGCAACGATGGGGCGTCTGCGGGCGGAACGACCACCCTGGAGGAAGCGGACGCTCTTTCCTCCATTTCCCTGGATCCCCTTCTCCCCTCCTCCCCCTCTCCTCCCCCTCTCCGCTGCACCTCCTACCCTCTGATTCCCTGATCCCCCCTCCCACCCTCCGCCCCTCAACCAGGGCGTCCTGCGCCAGGGGGAGAAGGTGTCACTGTACGAAGGCCTCATGGCCGCCGCCACCAGCGGCGGCCCAGAGCTCCAGGGGCAGCTGCTCGAGTGGCTGCTGCGCCCGGTGCACGCGAAGTGGAGCCGGCCCGAGTGGCGGGCGTCGCTGGAGGGGCCTGCGGCGTTCGCGCGGGAGTACATGAGCTTTGAGGTGGCGCCTGGCGGCGGGGTCGTGGTGGAGAGCAGGTGGGGGAGGCGTGTTGCATGAGCGTGTGTGTATGATGTGTGTTGGTGGGTGTGAGTGTTTGAGTGTGAGTGTGTGGGGTGAGTGTGTGTGTGTGTGTGTGTGTGTGTGTGTGTGTGTGTGTGTGCGCGCGCATGCATTCATGTGTCGGGGTGGGTGAATGGATATAAGACATTCGTCCGTGTGTGGTTGATTGGGAGTGAGACTTTGTGTGTTTGCGCGCGTGTGTGTACTGATGTGTGTGTGTGTGTGTGTGTCTTGCATGTGGCCATTTTGTGCATGTGTGGGTGCGCACACGCGGGTTTCGTGTCAAGGGTGCAGGGCGGGCGCCAGGGCCCAGCATTGCTGCCGACCCCTTGGCAGCGTGCAGAGTGCAAATCACCCGGCAGCCTCCGTTTTGGGAGGGACGGCCAGCAACGCCACGTCCCCTCGCTGACGCCAGGTGATGTCACACCTCACCTTGTCACCCATGGTTTCAACCCCCCCCCCCCCCCCCC